TACAAAGTATAACCTAATAAATACATAAGTCAACCAGTAACACAGTCAGCTATTATCATTATTATTGTGTACTGCACATAATTGTATGTGTTATACTTTAATATGACTTACAGAGCAGTAGGTTCGCTTACACCAACAACACCTTAAACACATGAGTAATACATTGCACTACAAGGTTGTAACAGCTACAATGTCACTAGGTGATAAGAATTTTTCAGCTTCATTATAATCTTATGGAACCAACATCATATATGTGGTCCTTTGTTGCTCGAAATATATGTGGCATATGACTTCATATCCATATTTTATAAAACATATCTGTATTTTTGTGTATGTGTGTGTGTATGATAAGATATATATAATCTCCCTCCCAATTCCAGAATTTATTCCAGGATCACATGTTGCATGTAGAGGTTCTTTTACATCTCCTTTACTCTGAAATAATTCCTCAGTTTGTCTCTGTTGTAAATGAACTTGACATTTTTATGGAGTACATAGCAATAATTGTGTAGAATGTCTTTTAATCTGGGCTTATCTGGTGTTTCCTTGTGATTAGATTCAAGTTATGCATTCTGGGAATAGGAGTAACACCAAAGTGGAGGTGTGTCCTCCTCAGCACCACGGTAGAGGGTGTGTGATCTCTACTTCATTACAGATGATGTTAACTTTGATGACTTGGTTAAAATTTTACTATCATCCCTTCAGTAATCAGTAAGTTCTTATGGAAGATACTTTGGTATTATATAAATAGCATGATAGCCAACACTTTAAAAAATGTCCAACTCCACTATGTGGCCCAACTAACTGTCCATAAATAAACACTTGGGAACATATTTAAGGTCTGCTTATGGGTCATAAAATAGATTGTTGCAGAACTTTCCCTAGTTTCAATGGCCTATTAACATTCTACCTTACCTCTTTCTCTCATGCATGCAAAGAAAGAAATCTAGGGTGTTATCTTTTTAAAGAACATATTAAAACCTCTAATCTCATATCTCATTCATCATATGAGAAAGCTGAAGGTCCACCCAGAATACACCTAAGTGACTTGCCTAAGGTCAGAGAGCTACTCCATGGCAGACCTGGAAAAAATTAAGTGCTCACTGTAAAGCAAGAAGGGCAAAAGTCCATTTAGAATCCTTCAAATACACAGGCCCTACGGCCCCACCTAAAGCAATCAAAGGCAGGTTTGCTACAACCATTTTGGAAAGTAATGGGATTCTTACATCCACAGGACATTTTCCATGGAGCTACTGTAGTCTAGTGGAGCACAACAGCTCCCTGCTACCTGAGTTTTCTCTTTATTCTATTCTGTCTCTTTTACATTTTTTTTTTTTTTTGGAAATGCACTTAAGTTACCCTAAAGGCAAAGAAAAAAGTCCCATTGCACTGGGAGACAGTATGAGAGGCAGTTTATAATGAGCTCCTAACCTAGAAATGCTATGCTCCCTTCACCAATGCTCTAGACTCCTGTTTAATTTTTATCACCATCTTTGTACATGTTATTCTGCATCTGCATTGAGGTAGTTCTGTGATAACCTTATTGTACTTCAGACTTGAAAGATATTGCGGTGTCAGAAAAGTCATGATGTATTTTTTTCTATGCAAAAATGCATAGAAAACCAACAACCCAATAGTTGGTAATCTTCCCTAGAACATCCTAACCTATACTAGCAACAAAAAAGGTAATCTCCACAAAGCCCTGGGACATTCTTTTCCAAGGTGACTCTATTATGTTAAGATAACATGAATAATTAACAGCAGGTTGCAGGAGGCCAAGTTCATTCTCAACCTTTCTCCACAACACAGGATGGTTCTATGCTTTATCTTGCCTGTTCTCCTCCTCCAGGCCTTTAAGAAGTCACGAAGTTGTTGGTACTCTGTCTAATCCAGTATTCCAATGTAATACTGCTTGCAAAGGTTATTTTAAAATGATATTTAGCAGCGTACTTAAAGCTACAAGTCAGAGGTTAGGACCGTAAAGACAGCCTGCACAATCTTGCCATCCAGAGCAGGTAACATTTCCTCCTTACCACTTCCTAGGAAGCACAGTATGCATAGACTGGATGGGAATGTTTGAATCATTATTCTATTTGTTTAAAAATAGAAGTAGTGTTTGGTATAAAATAAACAGGATATATTTTTAAAATCATAAAAGCAAAAATAAATGAGTAAAAGATGGAATTAGTACATTTTTTCAAGTCTTAGAAATACAGGAAATTGTTAGAAGATTTAGTAGTGCTGCAGTAGTAGCAGAAGAAGCAGGAGTGATAGAGGCAGTAGTAACTTTTATTGACTGTACATGCATGTACATTTTATTGCACATACAAGCACCACGTAAAGTGCTTTATATATAGCACCTCATTTCATCCTCAGAACCCTCTTAGTAGTATTCTCATTTTATACAAAGTTAGCACAACATAAATAAAGCATGGGGATAGTATCATAAATTGGATCTAGGATTATAATCCTGCTTCATGGTAACAAGTGAACTATCTCAGAGAATTAACCATTGGGCAATTACTGCTGACTGATCTACTAACTCATTCCCTCACTTCTTTGAATCACTTTATGAATAAGATCTTCCCCCTGATAGTTCTATACAAAAATTTATCAAACTCATCCAACCCAGACTTCCTAAATCTCCCTATCAAAATATAAACTCCATAAAGGCAGGAGCTTTGTTTCCTTAACTGCTCTACTCCAAGAATCAAACATTGCCTTATCTGCAGTAGGTGTTTAAAATATACCTATTGATGGAATGAATGAATAATTGATGAAGGAAAACAAACTATAACAAAGATTAAATTTTACATGAATTATTTGTTTACTCTTCCAGACTACAAAAGGGTTTTAGGAGCTTGACTTGAGGTTCCAGAATCTCTTAAAAAGACTGGGTCAGAATGTTTGAATCATTACTCTTATTTGTTTAAAAATTTCCCTGCAGCTAATATGGATATTCAAATCACTCCATTGACTGTGCTTTAAAAAAAAAAAAAAAAAAAAAAGTTATGTTCCTCTTCAAGGAAAAAGATGTACCACCATTAGTGAAGTCAGAAGAACAGTTCACAGGCTCTTAATTCTACTGCCAGAAAGGAGTTCCAAAAATATTTTTCAAAAAAAAAAAAAAGCCTATAATTCTCTTCCTAGTTGTTAAACAAGTATCAAGTACCTCATTAAATACCAGAGACAAAATTTTATGTTGGGTAACTTCATTGATCACTGGATAACATTCTCAGAACATGTATTTATGTGCTAAGCCCTGAGGAAGTACTGGGAGTGCAGCGCTCTGTAACTGTAACATTAGAGGGTGACGACCCTCCTACCTAATGGGGAACATCTGCTCTCCCCGATTTGTGTCTCTCTCCTTCTCAGGCTTTCTAGAACTAACTGAACACCTGAAACAGGATGTTAGCATAAACCGCCAATATTATCTCCTGCTTCTGGGAAGCCAAAAAAGAAAGAAAAAGAAAAGAGAGAGACAAAGAGAAAGAAGGAGTTAAGAATTATGTTTCATGTAACAGGATAAATCATGATTTTGATAGACTGGAAATTTGTAGGTAGGAAAATTATCTTTTTCAGAAAAACTTTAATTTCTGAGTCAGCAAAAATTATGGCTGATATGAGAACCTAAGATTATTAGCTAATATTGAGCTAAAAAAATGGAAAAGATGCAATTTAACAGGTATTTAAAGTTTGAACATACAGTATAAAGTATGTTCTTATTACTTTCACGACAGGAGTTTCAGCACTTAGCACTGATCACTGTGTGGAGAATGGCTATTTTGTTATTTAAAATAAATCAGTTGATGTGGGAGATTACTTGTATATATACTTATATTGAAGTGTATGAAATTTTACTGATGCTGTTGGAACCATGAATATTATTTCTTTCCCTTTTAGTTTCTACTGTTAGGGGGAAAAAAGTTAAAGTTATATTAAAATGATGCAAATTCTTTCTTTCCAATACCTCTACATATTCCAGTTTTGCATAGGCTAAAAATTCTAGGAGTAATAAAGTTGCATTTATTTCTCCCCAAAACAATATATATATATATATATATATACACACACACATACACACACATATATGGAAAGAGAGAGAGATAAGGGGATGAAATCACAGTTTCTGCACATTTTTAATCATGATGTTCTTTTTACATGCTCTATCTACCGCCAGGAAGAGTACATGACATTAAGTGGTGAGAAGAAACATTTCTGACTTGGACTCACGTTCCAAATTTTATTTGTGTGCTAATCTTTTGGGATTGGTTGTGGCACTGCTCATTCTAAAAGGAAGTGGCAATGTTTAGTTTTAGAAATACTGGCATCTGAGAAAGCATGTTAGTGATTTAAAAATTCTGAATGTAGTCATTAGAATAGAATCATAAGGGGTCAGCAGGTGGCAGGGGTTAAGGTGCTGGAGTCCCACATGGTTGACAGTGCTTCAAGTCTTTGACCTGTATGCTTGCTTTCTCACTTTCTCATTCATTCTCTCTCTCTCTCTGGTGAATATATATGCCCTACAGAAAATTATTAATAATAACAAATAAAATTAAATAATTCTTTTTAAAAAAGAATGGAATCATAAGCAGACTTGGGATACTAGGCTAACTGGGAGTGCTGTGGCCAGCCTTGCTTAAATACTCAAACAGCATTATGCCAACCTACATTATGTGTAAATTAGAAAAGCAGAAAGAATGTATCTAATATAAAAGTTGGTGAAAAGTATGAAACTTACATATGAATACATCCTTTATGATTCTGATGGAGTTCTGAGCACAAACAATTTTTAAAATTTGTCACAAAGAACTTTTAACTAGACATGCTCATAAATACCTGTTGGTTCCTCTGATTCTGTTAGTTCCAAAAAAGACTCCTTTTAAAACATCTTAGCATACTAACTGGTAATATTTCAAAGTCTGGAATGAATGTATTTAACGTTCTCGTGCCTTCAATCCTTGAGTGACAACAATTGCATTCTCAGTTACAATACTCACAGCTGTTGCCTGCTCTATTACCCCTCTGTCCGGCTGAGTGTTCTGGCTCCTTGTACGGAAACTGCAGAGTCGTATCTAAGGTTCTGAATCCTTCTTTAAGAGAATGATGCTTGTAGTACTCTACAAGTTCCTTTAGGAAAAAGAATCAAACATTATTTTTCATAAAGGTACTTTTGTTCTCAAACACACGCATTCCTTGACACATAATTACATGCAATATTAGGATGAGCCATTTAATGCTAACTTTTCCAAACGTATATAGAAAAGTAAGTGATCATCCCTCTTTGCTGTCTGCTATACGTGACGTCTATCCCTTAGCAGTCCTGTTACTCAGGCCCTTTTTAATGTGTTGCCCCCTATTGTTACTCAGGCATCTAGAACATCCTGTTGTCTTCAGTCAGATGTGGGGAATGAAAAGGAACCACACTAAACCTCAATTTCAGAGTGGTAATTATTGCTCTTACTTATGAAATACTTGTCTTTCTAAATAAAAATAAAAGGAACAGCTGTTTGCTCAGTAAATAGCAATTTCTAGTTTCCTGCATTTTCTTTCAACCTGGCATAAAAAACAAAGTTTATACTAAATGTACTTTTCCACGATAAACAAAAGTTGATAAAGCACAAATGCTCTTTGACACTGTTTCTGGTTTACAATGAAGAGTTAGTGCCCATCACAATTGTGGGTATCCCCTTGTACTCACAGAGGTCAATATGTGGTTCTTTCCATTTTCTTGTATAATTAATTTATTTAAAATACATTCAAACTTAGGGGTCGGCAGGTGGGGTGGTGGCTGGGGGCACTGGACTCCCCCATGGCCGACCACAGTTTAAATCCTGGACCTGGTGGCTTGCTTTCTCACTTTCCCTCTCTCTTGTTCTGTTCCTCTCTGGCCAAATTAAAATAAGTAGATAAATAAATAATAAGGTTAAATAAAACAATTCTTTAAAAAATACATTCAAACTTAATGTAATAACCACCCATTGTCTTTCAGACTGAAATTTAAAGAAACATCTTTTCACACATGTTGGTTTCATAAATTTTGTACAAATCTAAATCCCTCTACTATAAACTAAAATTGAATAATAATTCATAAGGGAAAAGTGCATCTTAGTATAAGTAATACAGATATAAAGCTTCTTATAAATACTGAAATGAAAATAAAAGCAAAATCACTTTTAACCTAATTATTCAGTGCTTCTATTACAGCACCTTTTTCATTTTCTCCCAAAATAAGCAGTGGAAAAGAAACTTATTTATTTTAAAATATATACACACACACACTCACTCCATCATTGATTTAAACCTCCATTCAGCAATTATGTTCTAAGTTCCCCAAACAAATCAATCAGGCCAAAATCACCCAAAAGAAGAAGAAGAGAACTATCAATGATTTATTAGGTCGTTGGGAAAGCCAAGACTTATTTTTCTATGTTTTTCTATGCAAAAATGTGTCCTGACTTTCCCAACAACCCAGTATTTATTATTTATGACCAAACTCGGATAAATTGTAAAATGCATTGTGCTGGGTGTTTCAGGGGTCACAAAGATTATGAAAATAAGGCTCCTGCCTCTAGGAGTTCTCAGTCTAGAAGAGAGAGTGAAGGACTCCCCTTCACTTTCACTCAGTTATGTGAGTTCAAAGGCATAAGAAAGAAGTTCCTTTTGTGTGTCCAATGGGAGGGATGAAGGAAGATTTCCTGATGGAGCTAACTTGACTCAAATTGAAGGACAGGTCAAATTTCAAATAAGAGAAGGATCATTTTAGGTGGAGCAACCAGGCTGGGAATAGATATAAATGTGATAAAGTGAATCAATCTGTAGGTAAAAAAAAAAGGCAGCACGGTTTGATAAAACTGGGTAAAACAATGGAGATTTTTCAATCTCTATACCTGTAAACCGGGGATAATACATCATTTCAGAGACAATAACAAAGAATACATACAGTGCCTCATAATTGTGAATAATACTAATAGCACCTATTACTCTAGGTGCCAAGCCCTTTACATAGTATCTGATCATTTCACTTAACCTATGTGATGGGCTTGATGCTCAATGATGCTCAACTCTCAGCAAGGTTAACTGACTTGGTCAAGGTCACATGAGTGGTGTCTGTTTCTGAAGTTTGTGCTCTTAATTGCATTGTACTATTAGCAACTAATATCTGACAAAGGTAAATACAAAAAAATAAACAAAAAACAAAGCCAAAGGGAAGGAGTATTTGCTAAGTATTTGTAGTATACTCAGAACTCTGATTTCTTACACATAAGATTTAGGGTTTACACACATTATAACTTTTTAAGAAATTCTTTCTTCCTTCCTTCCTTCCTTTGGCCCAGAAATAGGAATCTTTGATGAGGCAAAGGAATTTGGAATGTGACTAACCTTTAAAAACAAAGAGAAAAATAAATGAAATAGCAGGTAGAAGTTTGAATCCTCACAATGGATCAGAATGATTAGACTATGTCATTTGTAGTATGGCAATTTTTAACATGCTTTGCAAAGACAGTCTGTAAAATTAAATCCTACTAAGTGACCAATATTGTTACTATCTTTTAAATGCTGGGGACACATGTGCTTGCCAGTGAGAGCAAGAGAGAACAAAAAGAAGAGAAAGTACCCCCCCCACCAATGGCATGTGGTCATGCCACAATCCCTTCTCCATTTCTCCATCCTAATGTGATTTTGGGCATGCACAAATGCGTATATGGCTTGCATGTTTTTTAAACTGCTGGGGCCAGGATTCAAACCACCATCAGCCATGTAAGATCTGGCTTCTTTAACCACTAGGCTATGGGACTAGCCCTGCTACTTGTTTTTTTTTTTTTAAGTACAAAAAAAATTTTTTTTGTACTTTAAATGTATTTTGGTGCTGATACAAATGATACCAGAGAGAAGTTCTCACAGCAATTTAAATTTAATAAAATTTTTTATTTCTTTAGCAATCTGAAAATAAACCTGAGGAGAATTATAAGCCAATAGCTTTGCACTTTAATATAATTTTGTTACAGGTAATGTAAATTTTGTTATGAATTACAGTGAATTAAAATTTATGAGATGTTGGCTAGAAACATCACAGAATTATCATACCAAAAAAGGATTTGGTGATCATTTAATACCTATCCACTTCCAAATTTTATGGAAGAAAACAGGACTTTTCAAAGGCCTAGGGTCATGTGGCTTAGTAAACTGCAAAACACGCTTTATCACTTCACTAAGCATGGAAGGTATTTTAGTTCCATTTTTATAGTCTTATAAGGGCAAATCTTCCTACATGTTTCTAACTGGGTAGAACTAAATAGTGCCACCATGGATCTTTTCCAATTCATGCCTTTATGCTTTCTCTATTTTAGTCTAATCCACCCCTGCTTCAGCAGTTATTGACCTTCAGGTACAACAAGTAAATAAGAAGACTCTAAACAAAAGAAATCACTAAGCTTTCCTTATCTCACACTGACACAGCAGTGTCAACAATTCAAGTCTCTCTGAAAAATAATGAGTGAGAGCCAGTCATTCCAATTACCAAGGAAACAGGCAATGGAGATGGTTTATAAACAGTATTTGGACATGGATTGTCTGGCATACATAAAAATTAGGACAAAATTAATGCCTTGTAATCTGGATAGAGAAATTCATTTAGGATTTGAATTTAATGACTAAGAAAAACAAAGATTTTGATTAACCAAGCTATTGAAACCCAAGGGGAAAAGGTTAGGTCATAACCACCGAAGGTCAATCTTGTCTTTAAGAAACAGGCTAATGTAAAACAAGCTCCAGAGTTTGCTTATATTTTACACACTTTCTGGATTAAAATTTAATTTTAGGTCCTATTTTATTTCATATATAAAATAACATAACTTTTTCTTTCCTTTTTTTTTTGAGAGAGATTTTTGCTATAAGGTCATGCATGTGCTGGAGAGACAGAGAGAGACAGAAAGCAAGAAATCACCCCCCAGGGGTGACAGTCATGTTGCAATTCCTTCTCTTCCAATCTCCTCTCAGGATTTTGGGCATGCACGCATACGTGCCTGGAGTGTTTCAAACCACCCAGGTCTGGGATTTGAACAGCAGTCTACCATTTGGGAGTCCAGCACCTTAACCACTATGCCACCTGCTAGCCCCAGGAGAACATAACTTTTAATACCAATGATGGGAGGATACTAAACCATTCTTAAGAAACAATCATTCAAATTCACAGACCACTATCTGCTTATAAAGGGAACTGTGTTACTTGACATCAACACAATAAAAGGTAAGTAACTTCTTTGAGGGTCTATCTTGATTTTGAGAAGTCCCTACACTTCTTTGCCTTCCATCTCCTTCCAAAGGGACTGGTTACTGAAACATGAGTCATCCCTCTGACCAAATATCCATGTGACATTTCTCAGCTTAAGTTCAAAGGACCACACTATTGTGAGATTCTAGCACTGATGTATTTACTAATTTGTAAATGTTGTTAGAATAGTTAAGTCCTTTTGAATTCTCCAAAAACAGTGATTTCCCATACTAAGGTCTCAATATAAATTCACTAAATAAATGGAGAGGAGCAAAAAGGAGGGGCAGCTCCAGATGAGTTCCGCTGCCTCATAAACAATTTTTAGATATTTGTTAATTCTGACAAGATCTGTCAGCTCCTTGTTTTCTTTCTTCCTTTTTACAATTATATCCTTTTGCTAATTTTTTTTAGCTTCATTGTAGTTTTGCTATTCTTGATCCTCTTCCTTTAACCCACTGTGGTACATGACTCCTTATGAAAGATCCCTAGATACCGAGAAAAAAAATTATGCATCTTCTCTATCAATGGCACGTCTATAGATACTACATATACTACATGAGGGCTACTTATTTTAGCCTTGTGAAAAGTACTTTGATTCCTTTTTGAGACATCATTACAGAAATTGTTACTATTGTCTTGGTGCAAATGATTAGAATTCTGTCCCTATTACTTTTACTGTAATCACAGCTGTATATGCAGATAGGAATTTAAGAACTGATGTCTACTAATTCTGGTCACTTCCGTATTATTTTTTAAGATCCATTTTTCCAATAGGGCATGTGTGCTTGCCAGAGAGACAGAGAGAGAGAGAGAGAGAGAGAGACAGACAGAAAGCAAGAAGTTATTGCCAAGGGAGTATGCCACGCCATAATCCCCTCCAGTCTCCTCTCAGGATTTTGGACACACATGCACATGTGTCTGGTGTGAGTTTCAAGCCTCTGGGTCTAGGACTTGCATGGCAGTCGGCCATGTGGGAGTCCAGCAATGTAACCATTATGCCATCTGCTAGACCCAGGTCACTGCAGTATTACTGACTTCTGACATCTAACCTTTGCTGCTGAAGAACTTCTTGGGCTGAACCCAACCCAAGTAACGCAAAGACGAACTGACTGGCCCTTTCCAGTGACTATTCCTTTCATCCTCTGCTTGTCTCCTTCGATGGGAGTTCCTTTTGCTACTCTCCAAGTCTTCAAGGCTGGCAGTCATCTTTGGCCCTGCAGCATTTTTTAAAGTCCCACATTAACTCTTAACACTGCAGAGCAGCCTCATTACCATCCAAGGAAGTTCTGCAACTGAAAGCTCAAGCTGGTGTGTCTTGCAGAGATGAGGAGAGCCTTGGTGTATGCTTTTATCCACTTGCCACTTCCCTCCTAGGTTTCCATTTTACGAAGAGCCTCTTCTGGTCCAATTCTCCCTCACATACTTTCTTGTTCCAACAGAACATTAGTAACCTCCAGCAGAGGAGATGCCCGGATCTCGGCTACCAATTTGACAAGAGTTTACATTTCCAAGGACATGATCTTGCTGCCCATCTTTAGCTTTTGAATTAGGAATGTGATATTCATGGAGGTTTTCTTATTTTTCTTTTAGTCAGGATGCTTCTATTTCTTTTCACAAACCTGAAGCCGTTCTAAATTTTTAGATAAGACATTTAAGCTGGCCTATTTTATAAGTCCCTTTCACACTCAGTTTTATGTTTAAAGTAAAAAATCTGCAAAGTGCTTGGAGATGTTTTCCGAAAGGATGTAGCATGTATCATTTGACTGACAGCTTGATCAATGAGTGGTCCTGCTCAATGTTACTCAAAGTACTTAGCAGCTACAAATGCATCTTATTTCCTGTATCCAAATTCATTACTACTCAGAACACTACCTACTTGAGAAACAGTCTCAAGACCCCTGTGAAGGAAATACGAATTTTTTCTTTATTGTTCTTATATGTCATCATAGAATCATTGCTTAAATGACATACACAATATCTTGTATGTTAATATAAGTTGTAATTATTTCAAATTGTGGAAATTAATCAAATAATCTTTGTTAATTTGATGCAATTAGACAAACTGTTTCCATTTAAATATAAAATTCCTATGAAATATCATTTACCTCTTGTATATTAAAAGTATAACTATATTGAGGCCCTATCATCCAAGGTAATGAACGAGAACCAAAGCACAAGTATTTTGAAACTGCAGAAAATACAAAAAGCTTATCAATTTGACTTCATATAACTTTTTATGTAAAATGAACATAAAAAAGTTATTTTACTAATTACAACTTTTAGTGTTATAACTCAAAAGTATAACACTCTGCCTGAATGTGCAGATAAAGAAAGGAATAAGAGGAAAATAAAGCATATTAAATATTTGCTGCACATCACTTAAACACAAGCCGAAACTCACACAAATACCAGGAAGGTGACTGCATTTTAATTTGTCAAAACTCTAAACGACATAGGTAATGTACACAGTGAAATAGTATATAAAACTTGTAAATTACGGGCCAGCAGATGGCATAGCAGTTATGTCACAGGACTCCCACATGGCTAACAGTGGTTTGAGTCCTGGACCCGGTGGCTTGAAAATCAGACAGGGCACCTGTGCATGTGTTGCCAAGATCCCTGGAGAAGAATGGAGGAGAAGGGATTGCAGTGTGGCCATCCCTCACAAGGAGGTGATTTCTCACTTTCTTGTGAGAAATCAGACTGTGTCTGTCTGTCTCACTCTGGTGAGCACATGCAACTTAAGGCAAAAAATCTTCTTAAAAAAAAAACAAACAACTTGCAAACTATTTTATAATAAAAAATATGACTGGATCAATATAAGACAACCAGAGTTCTTAAAATTAGAAATTTTAGGATTCTGCTACAAAATTATAGTATGAGTCTCTTTAAATAACATTTCTGTGAGAAAAATTCCCAAGAAAATATAGAATTAAACTTACTTTTCCAAAGACAGAAAAATAGGGATCATAGGTTGAAAAAAAATAACCAATTCTTACCATCAAACTTTTAAATTTTCTATTTTCTGCAATGTGAAAAAAACCATCTCTTGTTACAATCTTGATGTGCTTTGCTTCATTATTGTACCTGTGGGCAATGAATAACTTATGAATATAAATGTGTTTTTAATCAGCAGAAATCAATAATTACCAGAGGGCATGCCCCAATAACATTATAGGAATTAATTCTGAAGACAAAATATATACCTATGCCAATACACTGGTGACAGCTAATTAACAAAATATATTTACTAGACTAGTTGAAGATACAACCAATATTTGAAGTGAGACTGGGGATTAGATTTGACTAATCATTATGCTCCATTTATTTAGTAAGTTCAGCCTAAGTATGTAGAAAGACAAAATAAAACAAAATCTAGTAATTTATACTCTTAGAATTTACTAGAAATATACAAACATCAAATCACCAAAACACAACGTTAGGAAAGAAATCTAATATGCCAATTAGCAGCCTATAACACTTATTACTGTTTTTCTAACAGATATTTTCAAGTATTAATGAACTGTCTGGATAGATGTATTATTTTGGTTGCAATTAGAACCTTAGTTTTCGACTTTAGTGTTATATATGTCAGATGGCCTATGCGATTATGAAAACAGGAAGTCTATTTCTGTAAAAGTACTTGTCCTACTTACTTAATGCTAATTGCGTATTCTCCTGACTCTTTGGTCCTGTGCCTCACAAGGTAAGTACTATTTACCCTATTAATAAGTTCAGTCTCTGCCTGCAATCTTTCCATTGCTCCAGCATACCTGGAAGAAACAAGAACAGAAAATTTGGACAATTTACCTGGAAGAAAACAGAGACTAAAAATATGAACCTGCCCAGATTTTAATGTAGCAGCAGATCTGAGCTGTTTTTTTTTTTTTCCTACTACACTAATTATGTTGCTTAAGCAAATAATTCAGAAAAAAAAATCTTTTAACATGTTCAAACACAAATGCTCTACAAAGCCAAGAACAGCCAAGTGAACAGTGCCTATTACTAAGGGATAAGTACCAGGACTAAAAAAGGAGTTAGTAGGTAGGTATTCATTAAAAAGACAGTTGTGAGGAGTTTAGGAACAAGAGGAAAAATGATTTGTAGGGAGGGACTGATCTATATGAGAAAGACAGACACGCATACACACACACACACACACACACACACACTTTATCTGTTCTATGTACACTGTGACATCTCCTTTGAGCACCTTTTTAAGAAAATTTAATAACAACTTAAATTGCTCTTAAATAAATTTTGGATACAAGGCTAATTATTTCAGTTTATAATTTTGATAATCAATTTTCTTAAGAAATTAGAAGTATTTGTTAACTTTTTTTTCGATGGAGCCATTTCTTCTGAGCCTTTCGCTCTCTTGGTCTAATTGCTACTGCTGCTCTCTAAGTTCGCTGAATTACTGTAGTCCTGGGACTTCGCTGTTCTGCCTGTCCTGGATTCTATATCTCCCTCTTCCTCAGTTCACTTGTTCATCCTTCAACTTCCTGTAAATGGATACATAAGATGGAATACTCTGAAGGCCCATATCTATGAAAAATACTTTACCCAACAACTCACTCTTTGGCTGAATTTAGAATACTCTATGAGATATTGGTCCCTTAGGTTAAAAGATGAGTTATAACAACCCAAGAATTATTAGGACCTATTATGATTTGACTCAAGCCACCCTCTCTTACCTTATCTCTGACAACCTCCTCCATCACTCATACCCAGCCTTCTTTCAGGTGTAGGAATTAATCAATTTCCTTTCAATATTTAATATTTGCTGGGACCAACAGATGGCAATAATGGTTACATTGCTAGACTCCCATGTAGTCAACAGCAGTTCGAGTCCCAAACCAGTGACTTAAAACTCATGCAGGGTACATGTACATGCATGCCCAAAATCCCAAGAGGAGATTGGAGGAGAAGGTATTGCAGTATGGCCATTCCCTCTGGGTGGGTGGTTTCTCACTTTTTGTCTCCCTGTCTCTCTCTGTCTCTCCAGTGAGTGCATGCACCCTATAGCAAAAATCTCTCTAAAAATAATAATAATTTTTACCTCTCAAATAGTAAGGTGCTCTTCTAAGCTGTCATTTGACTTCCATTCAAGGCTATATAGATTTCTGATTCTTTGAATGTATGTAACCTGATATTTTCTCCCTGGAAACTTTCAGATTCTTCCTGTATTCCCCTGTATTACAAAACTTCATAATAATGTGCTTTGTTATAGTGGGCTTTTAGTAGCATCTTTGATTTGAAGCCACATATCCTTAATTTCTGAGATTTTTTTTTTTTTGGTATTATTTCTTTGATAACCATGCACTCAGTTTTCTCTTTCTGGAGTTTATACTAACTTAATGCTATACTTCCTGGGTCCATAGTCTAACTACCATATCTCTCTCCCATATTACCTATCTCTTTGAATTTCTGGAAGCTTTGTCCAATGTTATTTTCCAACTCTTCTGTAATATATAATTTATAAAAGCTCTTATTCTCTGGTTGTTCCTTTCATAAAACATCCAGCTCACTTCCATCGCTGTGATGTCTTCTCTTAATTTTGAAGATACAAATAAAAGCTTTTTAAAAAGAAAACACATTGGCTCACTCTAATGCCTATTTTAAGTTTCTTTTTCCTATTTATTTTATTTGTTCTATAGTTCAAGCCCTTCCTCAGATGTCTGGGTATTCCTTTGTTGTTTGTTCAGACTTAAAGAGGTGGGATCCAAGAACTGACTGGAAGCTGTGTGGGCACAAAGGCAGGTCCACTGGTTAGAAGCATGATCATTTGGGAAGAACCTAACTATTGAGCTGGATAACCCCCAAACGTTAGGCTTTTAGATTTTTCACTCTGAGTCCATTCAGTTTCTTTAGAGAAAATTCTTCCAAATTCTTGTGTACAAGGAGAGGGTAATGTGTGTGCGTGAGATGCAACTATCATAGTATTGGAATTGAGCCATATAAAGGAACTGGGGATAATCATCATTTAGCCTATAGACTTCCCTTAATTTTTAAAAAAGTATGTCAGTTTGTTTGTTTATTGAAAGAGAGAAAATCTTCAACAGAGTCAGTCTCACCCTGTGATATTGCCCCCAGTTCTCCCAGTCAGCCAGGACCATAAGCATTCCTAAGTACCCCTGCATGTATAATTCAACCTGGGACCTGTGCCCTGATCTTCCATACGACTTCCAGCATTGCAGAGTGCTGCACTACTGCAGTACCACTGTGACTAGGCCTTAATTTTACACCTCTGGTTTTTATTTTTCTTCTTTTTTTCTTTTCATTTTTCATTAATTTTCTAAAGAGTACATGTCCATGCTGGAGACAGACAAAAAGCAAGACGAGGAAACTAAGAAATCACTTCCCATGAGGGACAGTCATGCTGTAATCCTTTCTCCACCATTTCTCCCTCCTTTCTGGATTTTGGGCATGCATCCACATACCCCAGTGTGTTTCTCATACCTTCCAGTCTGGGAATCAAACCATATAGTCAGACATGTGGGGCCCAGCTGCCTTAACCACCATACCACAAACTGGCCCTAACCCTTCTGTTTCCAGAATAAATCTCCCCAACCTCTGCTAGGCCTAGTCTTTCCAAGTTTTGGCCCTATATGGTTCAATTTTTTTCCACTATGAACTCTAACTTCAGTGTCTCCTGTCAGGATGGGAAAAGGCAAGTTGCCTGACTGCTGGGAGGATGGGGTAGGGGACTTGGCATTTATCTCCTGTTCCATTCTAAACATGTAGATTTTTAGACAGTTCTCCAGTTTTCAGCCCCTACATCTCTGCCTTTTGATAGCCAAAGCCATAGATTATTGAAGAAAATCATCTTGATTTTCTATTTTATTTCATGGCTTATAAAAGAGACAAAATTTTCCTGGTGGGTATAACCTACTTTTAAATGTGAAAATAATGAACAGACAATATAGTTGGTAATATTCAACTTCTCGGTGACTTAGAACTACCATGCCATCATTCAGTGTAATTTTCTCTAAACAGTTTAGTCCTTCTAAAATTGAAGGTTCCATTTTCTGGTGCAGTTGATCATCTTGTTCCCTAGCAGGAGACATTTCATGTGAAACTGCCTGCTTAGTTTGAATAAACTGTCCAGGTTGCTCAAGGGGGAAAAAAAAAAAAAAAGCAATTTTAAAATTCTATTGTGAAATATCTTTATTTCTTCTATTTTCAAGGCTCTTCCTTTGTCTGAACATCTTGAATTTTTGTCATTAGAGATAATATTATTCTAACTGGTCATATCTCAATAGAATTTTTAAAATGAACAAGGATGCATTCTAAAAGGGAGGGTAAAATGTTACTCTCCTGTACCCTGAGTAGTGTCTAAGTACCTGACCAGCCTACTTCATAAAGTCCATGTAGTTTGTGACATGAGCATTTGTCTCTAAAATCATTACCCTCATAACTATAATGCGTAGGTACATGAAAAATGGTAAAAGGAAATGAACTTAATTATTGCACTTTCATGATTTTTACCAATTCCTAATGTTTTTCAGCTTGACTGCCCATGTTATCAGCTCTAATCTCCATATTCCAATTCCCGTTAGGATCACAGTTATAAATTTCACAGAAACTAAGGCCTTAAATTTGACTTAAACTAGGTAAAAATGTAGCAAAATTCTGTTCTATTACAAACCTGCCACAATTTCTTCAGAAAGCTTAGTGCTGAGGTTCAGCA